GTTGACACGAGACCAGTTTCTTAGGTTACCTCCAGGGACCCGGGAGTATGCAGTATTGTTTCAAGAAAACATTAAGAAAGTAAAGGACAATCTGAAGAAAGCTCAGGACCAAATGATTGAACAAGCTAACAAGCATCACCGACCCTCAACATTCAAGGAAGGTGATCTAATCTGGGTCAATTCCAAAGAGTTTTCGTTGGAAGAAAATGTGTCTCAGAAACTTATGCCCGTCTATTTTGGACCCTGGGAAGTTCTCAAAGTAATTGGGGATGCAGAGGGACCGTATTATCGAATTGATATTCCCCCTCACCTCAAAACGTATTATGTCTTTCACGTGTCCAAATTGTTACCCTACGTAGATGGAAATGAGTTCCCACACAGACCTTTTATGATTCCGCCAAACATGGACGACAGATATGACGTAGACTGAATCATAGAGCATGGGTACTTTTCTACAGGTGGACGTGGACGACCGCAGAAGCAGTTCAAGGTTCGTTTCAAATATAAAGCACCATCTGATGATAGATAGTTCAGTAAACGAGAATTACTTGAAACTGCTTCTGATATTGTATCTGCATATGAACGTGGGTTAAAGTCTTAGTTATTCATGCGATGGAACTCTAAAATGGGTCGGCAGAAATGCAATAACCCGTGTTCTGCAACAGTCTGGGCCCTCGAAACGGAGCCCAGACGACTCAGGCCAAACTCGACCTGTTTCGGGCAGTGTGACCACGCACTGCTAAGGAAAGTCAAAAGTCTAAGTCAACTGTCAAAGGTACCACGCCCAGACCCTTGGTCGGATACATTCACTTGTTGTGCGCAGGTACCTGGACAACATTAAGACCACAGGGAGTTCAGTTTCAGGCAAATATGGGCCGCCATTTGTCTTGAGATCTCGACGGCCTAGGGAAGCAGCAACCGGGGTCCAGACCCCGCATCGTCACTACATAAGTCTGGACTACCAGACTGAGAGAACATTCTGTCTTGCGTCAATGCTGACTTCATGCATTGACTTCGACGCTAGTACGACACTGCAATACTGGCTGGGACGCTGGCTCTATGCTGGCACTTGAGCAACCACGGCGACGCGCTGCTGGCTCGGCATGGTGGCTGGTTGGCAATTGTCTTCTGGGCATGCTGACGTGGCAGCTGCCACGCGCCGCCACTGACGCAACTGCTGCCACATGTACTCTTGCTGACGTGGCAGGCTACGTGTATGATATTGTTGTTCTGATTCATCGTCACTCGAAAGGAGATCAAGACTGTGAGGCGGTTGTAGATATGCACCTGGTCTTTCGATGTCGACATTGCTTCGGCTCGCTGATGATGACAGTTGACGTGCCACGTGGCGCATTGAGATAAAACTTCAGATTTGTGTTTAGACTATTGATTATTGAGGTGGCAATTGAGGAGGGAGCCCGAAGCAGGAGTGGGCATTGTTTACTCCTCCAATCTAAGTCTATTCTCCCCTCTCTCTCTTTCGTCTGTGTATGTTTCCCCATCTCATTCTATCTGGACACGATTATGATTATTGACATTGTTACATGCCCAGTTGGGCGATGTACATATAAACCGAGGATCCGCCATGTGATAAAAATGACTGAATGGACAATGCAGTGCAAGTGGAATCTCAACAAGCAATGTACATTCCGATACATACAAAATGGTGCTTTATAGGGCAGGGAAGACTTTAGATACAAGTCCTAACCTGACCGGGACTGACCTCTTTCATGTAGTACAAGATAGCGAAGCAAAATGCTAGAATAATAATGACTGCCCAATCAATGTTTCAACGCAAACCAACATACATCATGCTCATTACAAAGTGTGAAGGGGCCTGGCACTATACACAGGAAAGAGGCGCCAGGTCCAAACATACACAGACGAAGAGGAAGGGTTCAGACGAAGAAAAGGAAGGCGGAGATGGGAAAGTCGTCAACACCAAGTCTCGTTACAAGTCCCAAATAATCCCTCTTCGAAATGCCTGAAGTCCTATGTCGAGTCTGGATCCAATGTCACCAAGCTCTCTCTCTCTTTCTCTCTCTCTCTCTCTCTCTCTCTCTCTCTCTCTCTCTCTCTCTCTCTCTCTCTCTCTCTCTC